TTCCGTTCTAGACCATCTTCATTTGTTTCTCTTTCTCCAGAATACCACCTTAAATTGTGTTTCTGTTGTTATACCACCTTCATTTGTGTTTCTATTTCTAGACCACCTTCATGTGTGATTCCGTCTCCAAACCACCGTCAATTGTCTTTTCGTCTCCGTTTCCACACAAGATTCAATTGTGTTTACTGTCAATTGTTGTCTACTAAGCAACTTGAATTGTGTTTATCTTTCTAGACAACTTCCAAGTGAATTCCATATACAGGCCTCATTCAATTATGATTCCGTCTCCAGACTGTATTCAATTGTTCTTTTGTCCCAAGACCACCTTTAAATGTGTTTCCGTCTTCATAAGACCACCGTTAATTGTTTCGTTTTCTTTTGTCTCCAGACCAATGTCAAATCTGTATACGTTTCCTGACCATCTTTATTCGTTTCTCCCTCTCCTCAAGACCGCATTGAGTTGTGTCTCTGACTCCTGACGACATTGAAAAGTGTATCCGTCTCCTGACCATCTCAATTAGTGTTTCATTTTTCAGACCACCTTCAATTGTGTTTCCATCTCAAGATAACATTATTTTTGTCTCGGTCTCATGGCAACCTTGAATTTTGTCTCCGTCCTCGGACCATCTTCATTTGTGATTATATTTCTAGACCACCTTGAATTGTTCCTCCGTCACCAGACCACTTTCAATTGTGTTTCCGTCTCCATACCACCTTCATTTGTATTTCTGTCTCCACACCACATTGCATTCTGTTTCAAGGCAACCTTGAATTGTGTTCTGTCTTCTGACCACCTTTAATTGCGTTTACGTTTCCAACCCACCTTCAAATGTGTTTCCATCTGCAGACCACTTTCAGTAATGACTCCGTTCCAAGACCTCCTTCATTGTGTCTCCGTCTCCAGTCAACATTCAATCTTTTATCCGTAGGCAGACAAATTTCAAGTGTGATTCCGTCTATAAACCAACTTCAATTTTATTTATATTTCAAGACCATCTTTAAAAAGATTGTGTGTACCACTTGTTGCAACCTTAAATTGTGTCTCCAGACAACTGAAATAAAATGAAAAAGATGTTATGCTCAGAAGGACTGATTGTTACAAGAAACTGGGCCGCCTTTCAAGCCACCACACTCTTTTCTCGAGTTCACTAGCACACTTTCTTCGTCGTCCTTTTCGTGCCACTTTCCTTGGCTTTAGTGCGGTCACCGGCTGCTTACTTCATGCAGACTAAATTGTACCCCAATTATATGTAAACGCTTAGTGTAGAAAGTATGCAAACTTAAAATTTTACACTTAGCAGTGGATCTTCAGTCGTCTACCGTTGATTTTCCAAGGTGCAAAATACAAGCTGATTAGTCAAATTGACACGGATCATTACTTTTATTGGATAAAGCCATTTCTAATTTACTATACCTTAAAGTTTTAAAATATGATAAACAAGATCAACAAGGAAAGGCGGCGTTCAAAGAACGCAACCCCCATATGACCCAGCAACAAAAACCAATGGCAAGGAGCCCAGGCGGACCCCCAAAAAAACAGGACAGGGCAAAGACAGAGCACGGACGGGTTAATCATAAATGATAAATAATTTGTAACTGATTAGGAATTCGAAGAAAATAATAATAGGCCCACAAAGGGGAAGGGGACAAGAGACAGGGGGAAGGGGGGGGGTTTAATCAAAGAAATAAAAACTAGAGCCAATGGGGAAGATACTTACCGTAGACGAGAAAACAACAAGGGACACAAGCAAAAGTGTAACCAAAACAGTATGAAACAACATAGACATACATCTGAGGAACACAGTGGGGCGCCGCCTTGGAACGGTCAGCAGCATAATAATGACTGCTGGGGAGTTTTAACCGGTTAATGGTGTACCAAACCTCGCTCTTAGCCCCACCATGTTCCTATAAACGAGACAGTGTAAATAAAATTAATCCCCGCCAAGTGAAATTCTAACAGTTGTCATGGTTACAAAAGGTTAAATAAGTAAAACACTAAAAGGATCATGTAGAAACATATAAAAGTAAACCTACAAGGGCCCGACGAAGCAAGGCAGAAGACGAACATTAAGACAATTCAGTCCCAAAAGGCTTGACGAACTATCCATCATAGAGTCTCCCACTTGGTCCGTCAGATGCAATCAAAAGAGGAAAGCGTAGTGTCCAACTGTAAAAGGGTTGAACACTAAACATGCAGTATGTCTTAAAATAGTAGGGTCATAACCTCTTTTAATAAAACGTTTAATGATTTTAGTAAAAGCAGCAGAAAAATTACCATGACCCAAAATCTTACGAAGTTTGTAAATCACATCGCCATAAAAGCCAGACTGGCTAATCCCTTGTCGCAGAAGTGTTTTTCGATTGTAAAATTTAGTAAAATATTTCCGTAATTAATGATAGCGGTAGCCCTGTTTTAGAAGCTTGCTGTTAATAAAAATATTCCGCTCGTTGAAATCCTTTACGTTGCTACAAGCTCTAGCGAATCTAATTAACTGAGAAACATAAACCCCGTAAGATGTTGCATGGGGTACGTCTCCATCTAAATGTTGATAATTAACTATACAAAAGTTAAACCATCGACAAATAGCGTTAACTCTTTTTGTTTTATTATTAATATCTTAGCATGTTCTTTCTCAAGGATAATGATAGAGAGTCATACTTATTACACTTCAAGGGCCCAATGTATTAGAAATGCTACATACAACTTAAATCATATCTACATTTCATAAAATATAACAAATATTTTTGTTTTGCATTTATGTAAAGAAAAATGATTTCGAATACGTTAAATTTATTCATCATATTAAGTGGTGGACTTACACACTTACTGACCCTTTGGTAAACACACACCATTTGTACAAGTGAAAAGTAGTCAAAAAGGTCATTTTAGTTTTCAATTGATATATAGAATTTTTACAGGTGAAGTATTATCTTTTTCTTGTTTCCATAAAATTTAAGAATATATCTGTACATTTGCTGATAACTTTCACTATAAAAATGTGCCAAATCGATGCAATTTGTATCAGAAATGCTCTGTAGCAAATATCCTACACTTGGCTTTAATTTGTGCCCGAAACTTTACCACAGTATTCATTTCAAAAAGTAAACCGAAATATCCTTACATATATACTAAGGACTGAGATACCATTTCTATATATATGTATAATATTTTGAGGAATATTTTTTCTTGTAGTTTTGTTATATGATGTCCTCTAATAACACAAAAAAATAGATTTTAACACATTCATTTTCAAATTCATCAGATGATGGAAGACAAGAAAAAACAACAAAAAGAAAAACAAAATTTCATCGAATATTTTAATGGAAAAAAGGCAATCCTTAGATATAACAGAATAAAATAAAATCGTCTGCTATTGTTATATTATCCAGCTAGATATATACATTTCACCTACTTCATTCCTTATTTCAAGTTAACTAATCGTATTTAAGTACATGATATTACGTTTAAATATCACTAAAATTTATCTTTATGATTTTTGTATGACCCCAAAGTGCCGTTGTAACACTCTTTTGGGTCAAAAATTCAAATCAAAGTGCATAACGTACTTTGGATCCAAAATTACGTTACATAATTTGGGGTCGGATCCGAAGCCCGAAGTATGTTGGACCCAGAAGTACGGTTTACAATGCCATGTATGTATGTCTTGCCTTAGAATGACCAGCCCTTGCCCACTAATGTAAATTCAGCCAAGTTTGTTTACCCGTGCAGCTTTACCACGCACTTACTGTTGGCTGACTTAAAGGCCCATTATGTATAAGAAATGCTTTCATATCTATTTCTCAAACACATTTTATTTTTGCTTTCTTGTTATAGTTCCCGAAAAGTTACTTATTCGCAGTCTAAATGGAAATCGTTTGCCTCTTTTACCCTTTGCAATTACTAAATTAAATCTATTAATTAACATATTTATTTATAACTTTTAGCAATACCATCATCATATGTATTGTTACGTAAATTAAATATTTAAACAAAGATTTTAGCACTTGATCTATTTCATGTCTTGTGTAAACTTGTTCTTCTTTTATTATCAAATGCTTTTGTTTATTTATAACTATAGTAACCAGAGACAAACCGTACATGACGTTAAATTTCCAAGGTCAAAGTTCACGAAATATTAAGTTTTCAGAATTGTCTTACTTTTCTAAGTGTAATTGGGTTCTAAAGGATAAACGACTGTTTACTCTTTTAATACACGGAAAACAGACAGAACACTACTATATATCACAATAAATGAACTTCATGCTGAAAAAAAGGAAGATTTTTCAATAAAGTAAGCGCCGTATTTTTCATTTGAATGCTTGCACAATATGTTTGCCATTTAAAGCACTAGTCATTCTTTTCAAATATTGGGAAAATGTCTGAGAATTTGTCCCGTGTTAAAAATCATGTTTTATTACGTCCTGACAGATAAACTTATACCAGAACTCATCATCAAGGATGTTGATGGTGTGTTAGAAACATATAATTGTCGTCAACCAGAGAAATACAAATCAAAAGGGTCTAAGATTCATATTCAGATTCTGGATATACACAATAAAAGAATGAAAACGAAACCTCCAGTTAAAGGATATAGGTTACATTATAAAATGTCGAATCATTCTCTTCAAAGATATACTACATATACTACTTCTGTTCGTAGAAGGTATTTTCAAGGTATGCTAATTAAATCAAATATACTTATATAAAGAGGGTATTTTATTTGTACAAAGCAGAGTTGAAATCTAAAAAATTATGAAAAAATGATTAAACCATTCATTTAGAACTGCCTCACTTATCGTTCTTATAGTGAAATCTTCAAATGTCGTTATAAAATCGTTTAACAGTGCCATTTGAATAGTAATGAGGAAACAAACTATTCTTAGATATCGCATAACAGTTCTAAAACAATGAGTTATTTTAAATGGAACATGTTTTTTGTTTTCTCAAATTTAAGCTTGTTCAAGGATTTTCCGAAAATGCTACAAGGTATTCTTTAAAAATAAGCAAATATCCTGGAATGATGCAAATACTCAATGCCGTAAGCACAGGCGTCATCTTGTGAATATTGCAACAAGAAAAGAAATGAATTACGTCCAATACTTACTTCGAAGATTGTTGTATATGCAAAAAAAAGACGCTGGTGAACGAAAAATTCATGGAGCACACATTGGTAACTGCTTACCTTAAACGTGCACTTATGCGCATAATTATCTATTTCTTTTCCTTTCAACTTGCTGTGCGTGCACGCGCGTGTGCCTGTGCGCGTGTTCATTCGCGTGAGTGTTATCCTTTAAAAAATGTATTTTTAATATCGACTATAATGTTATTATATACACAAATTTTGCAGTGCTCTTTCAATGTCCTGCTGTTTTAAAATACGTTCTGTCAGCACTTGTGGACAGTGACATATAAATTACTGTTTTAATTTTCATAACACATTTACCTTTGTTGAATTACAAACAAAATATGAATTTGTTGAACGTAAAAGTACATTTTTTTCTCAATATTTAAGTGAAATAACATCAGGATGTTAATCAGAATCAGAATCGTTATCTTCACTTAACCCTATGTGTACGAGTACATGTGCTACAACATAAATAAACAACTTTTATAAATAATGTTGATTTTAGTGTTAAATAGTTTGAAATATTTAAATACCTTACACTTCTTATTGTATGTGAATTACGTAAAATATAAAAATGTCATAGACTCGAAAAATCAATAAAATCTTACCCCCGAACCTTACCAGTAAAGCCTCTCATCTTACTTAATTTTCGCAATCAAGTCAGCAATATACTTTCAAAATAGATTAAAAACTTCGTTTAGGGGCTTTAGATAAGATATATTACAGTTTTACATCTGTATAATACTGCTTTGCCTTTTTTCAGGTTTAAGGCGTGTAAAGGACACACAAATGAGAATGAATTTCATATGGATAAATAACAATAACGTAACTTTCAGTGATTGGTAAGGTAATTTTTTGTCATAGTTTTATGTATCCAATACTTAATTATTTTCAGCTGTTTATATGCAATAGAATTTAATTACAAACAGTTTTAGCGACTTCATTTATTGACTTGTTATGTAATACTGGTTGCCGATATACAAGAAATATCAAAACATGTATTAAGTGATTATTGTCCAATGTTTAATTTGTTTTAGAAATCATCTCGTTACCATTTTTCTTTCTGAGTTGTCTTATTATACTTTGTCCTAGGTGGAGGACAATTTTATTTTTCAGTGTTAAACAGTAAAGCGTTATGATTAATTTGCAATCAATAGATTATCATAATAATAAAAAGAATTTTGTCTTTTAAAGATAAAGCAGATGATGCAATTTTAGCCATTCCTACTAATATAGAGGATTAATAATTTGTTATTGAACACTTAATTATGTTTTCTTTTCAATAATGTAATATCACATTTTGTTATAACCTTTACTCCACTTTTTTGCCTATATAAATTATAAAGCAATACAGATGGTGGAAGGAACATGTGCTTAAAAATATTTAATAATATATTTTTTCCAGAAGTAAAAGCTACCTATTTCAACTATTTGAAATCATACTGAAATTTATTTTGGTACTGTAAAACATTTTACGAATTTTTGATTACTACGCGCATTATTTATTTCAGTATTATATCATATTTCCCATTATTTGATTTACAAAATTATATATTTAAAGCATTTTCATGACAGGAAAACAAGGCAACCTTCAACTGGGGATTGTACTCGTACCACATTCGAATATTTTAACACCGACGAGCATTGGGAAACAGAAGATTGTTATAATAGTTTGGTACATTTTTACATCTGTGAAAAAAAGTTTAAAGAGGACAAAACTAAACGTATGTGTCATATATTTCTTTCAATTTCATTCATCGTTTATAGGGATACCAAATAATTACTGTATTATTTACAATTCGAAAGAATAAAATGTTTACAACGTTTTAATTATTGCAAACAAGTTGTCCGTCTTGCAAGACTGTTTTAGAATCATTACTGATTATTCTTACATATCCTAATGCTGTTTCCGTTAGTTTCTTCTCATGCTTGCATAGGGCGCAAAATGAGTCGCGTGCAATACAATGACGTGCTTAGGATGACGCAATTTCGCCGTCATGAATGACGTTGCAAGTCCATGTACTCTGCTGTTAGAAAAATGTTATTGTGTATTGACATAAATTTCCTTGGAATCTTGTTTTTTTTTAAATATGATGGTATATGGTAGAAAATACGAGAAAAAGACCTGACATATGTTTGCGGTTCGTATCGGAATAATTCGTCCTTTTGGAAACCTTCCATGGATTGGTCCCCTCAATACGGATATTTCGATCAAACCGAATCATTTGTCTTGGTATAAAACTTAAAATACACATTTCAACTAAGCCAAAATTAGGATTTACATTGATTTAATACTTTTTAAAAATAACATCTTTCCTGAACGCTTGACAAATAACATTTTGTTTTAATAATCAAAATATTTTTTTGAGAATTTGATATGCTTTCCAGGTGATTTCAAGGGGGGAGATGTGTGTAAAATGTTTGTTGAGAAAGATCGTTTCACATCACCGTACTCCGGAAAAACTTGTCAGAATTGGTTTCATCTAACTGACAGTGCCAAAAGTGATTTTGACAACAACTTTTCCGCTTTAAATGGCACTTTAGAAAATTCAACTTTGTGTAAGGATCCCTCTGCCGAAGGTGTTTTATGGTGCTATGTTAGTAACTATGACAAATCAATGCGGGATCTGTGCTTTTTGCATCGTAAGTAATATAAATACATGCCTTATTATGTGTTCCAAAATTGTTTCCTCAATTTTTTGGGAGAGATATTGTTTTACCTTCGCCGTCTGTCTGTCTGTAATGTGGCTATTTTCTTTTGTGTGACAAAAAAAAAACAAAAAAAAAAAACAATAGAGAAAACAATTGAGTAGCCACATTATGATTGTCCTGTTAGAACGTTCCTCAGTCTGTCTGTCCGTCTGTCCACATAAGGTGTGTCCGGCTTTCACAGGTCAAACAACTGTTAGGATTTCAGTGAAACTTGATATTCCTGAGTAATCAGTACCATCTCTAGTTGTGCACTTCACGCGCACATTCCGCTTCGCTACACAAAATGGCCACCAGAGCTAAACATAGAAACACTTTTGTCCATCTTTCACAGGTCAAACTTCAAACCAAAATATGCAGGAGTGGTCAGTACTATCCCTAGTTGTACACACCACCGGCACATTCTGCTTCGCTGCCCAAAATGGCCACCAGAGCTAAAAAAAAATATTGTCCAGCTTTCATAGGTCAAACTACCTGTGAGATTTCAACCAAACTTTACAGGAGAGATCGATCAGTACCATGCCTAGTTGTGCACATTACCAGCACGTTTTGCTTCACTGCACAAAAAGGTCGTCAGAGCTAAAAATAGAACAGATCTTGACCGTCGTTTACAGGTCAAACTACAAGTGGGATTTCAACCAAAATTTACGGGAGTGATCAATATCGTACCTAGTTGGGCACATGGCCGGAACGTTTTGCTTTGCTGCGAAAAATGGCCACCAGAGCTAAAAATAGAACAATCCAGCAAACTACTGGTGGGATGTCAACCAAACTCTGCATGAGTAATTGGTACTACCCCTAGTTGTGAACACCACCTGCACGTTCCGCCTCGCTGCACAAAATGGCCACCAGAGCTAAAAACAAAGATCTTGTTCTGCTTTCACTGGTCAAACTACTGGTGGAATTTCAACCAAACTTTACAACCAAACTTTACAAGAGTGATCAGTACCATCTTTCAGCTACTGGTGAAACTCCTCATGAGTTATCATTACCATCCCTAATTATGCATATTGCAGGCATGTTCTGCTTCGCTCCACAAATTGACTGCCAAAGCTTAAAATAAAAAGAAATATTTCTGGTTATCGTAGTCAGAGCTAACAATAGAGAAATCATTTCCGGTTATCATATATCAAACTGCTGGTGTGATTTCCACCATAATTCACTAGAGTTCAGTATCACCCTAGTTGTGCATATCACGGCATGTTCCGCTTGCTGCACAGAATGGCCGTCACAACTATGAATTGAAAAATCTTGTCCAGCTTTAACAGGTCAACCTACTGGTGGGATTTCAATGAAACATTACAGGAATAATCATTACCATGCCCTGTTGTGCATGTCGCAAGAATATTCTGCTTCGTTGCACAAATTTGCTGCCAGAGCTAAAAAAGAAAAATCCTGAAGACATTTCACAACAACATTATCGTAAGGGAAATCTAACGATAAATCTCCTTTTCAAAAAATAATCTTAAGCAAACCTTAGTGCCAAATCTATCGTAACTTTAAAATTGGTGTTCCCTGTTCGTCAGTGTGATATTTGTTCTCTTATGAGTAAAATGTCAGGTATCTTTTATTTAAACAGAACAAAAACAAAGAAAAAATGGACAAATATATATTAATAAGCAAACAATATGTTATAAATAACACAAGTTAAGTTAAAAAAAAATCAACATATTAATATTTCTGACGTTATGACTTGATGAAGTCATGGTGGAGAGGGTCATGAATAGTTCATATGTAAACTCCATAGAATTATTCTTGATAACTAATGTTTTGTACAATTTGGTGGGTTCGATTTTATTGCCAGTATGTACTAGCGGCACCTTTATATTTATTAATACCTTAGCAATAACGTAACGGACTTTGTGTCTGAATCACTTAGATACTTACAATTATTTCAATCAAGATAGATATCAGTTTGAATAAGTTGTTTCCTCTTATTGTAACTTTATTGTGTTCAATACATATTTCAAGCTATTATTACTTAATTTTGAACCGGAAACAAATATAGAGCATGCACATCAATATCAAATGACCAATGATGTTTTTGTTGTAAGATTTATCATAAGTGAATTTTTTATCTTAAGATAAAATTGAACTAGCGTTTGGCTTTGTGAAAATTACTTAAGATATAACTTTCGATTATCGTTAGTCAAAATCTTAAGATAAATCGTAGGATATTTTGTGAAAAGATCTGCTGTTCGGCTATCTCAGGTCAAACTGCTAGCGGGATTGCCACGAAAATTCACAGGATACATAGTTTGAGAGACATAATTATGTTTTTGTTGCATAAACCCTTCTATTTTTTTTGTAATATTAGTCTGACAAAAACAATTATAATACAATTAGATTTATTATGCCTTGAATATACTTTTATTTCATATCGAAGTAGATATTGTTCTGTTTGGTACCTATGACACAATACCATTTTACTTTTTCTTCTTATGTAAGAACTGTTTGATTAACCGTCATTTTCAGGAAATATTAATAAGCTTTAACGAAATGTTAATTATAAGCAAATTGAGACACGTGTCAAGAAAATAAATATGTCAATTTAGACACTACAGAATACGAGTTTTGCATTTATCAACAATGTCGAAAAAACATTTACAGCCCTGTTTAGTTTTGTTTTATTGTCCAAAACGATTGAAATGCATAAAAAATGTGAAGATATATTATATTTTTCATTTACCTTTTAGTTAAAGGTAACCTATCTATGCCTGAAAAGAGGGTATCAGAGGCAAAATGCTCCGATGGATCTTCAATACCTAAAATTAATTGGTGTGATAGGACCTTTGACTGCATAGACTTTTCGGATGAATTGTCATGTCAGAACAGAGTTAAAGGTTTGCACATCGTTTTTCATTATCTATAATATGATACTGTTGTTCTTAAGTTAAGTTTCTACGGTGTAATTGAAAAGTTTGCAACTTACTTTTAATCGGTAAGAAATTTCGCGCCGCACCCCCACTTATAAGCGTGTTTTCGCTCCATACCCCATATTTTATTTCTTTTTTAATTTCGCTCCGTGCATACCCGCGCGGCGAAGTTTTATTTATTTAAGGTATTAGCACCCTAATGCATAACCTCCGCGTTGAAGAGTATTCAAATAGGCTAGAACTACTGTTAACTACATTGAAAATGAGGGCCATGGGTTCAATCCCCAGATGGGTCAACTTTTTTTTTCTTTCTTTTTTTCTTTTAACATTATTTATGTATCTCTCATGTCCCATTTGGAAAGAAAAAAGTGTTTAATTTTGATTTTTTAATTTATATAGGTATTTATTGGCTAAATTATGCTAAATCTAGTAATAAATATGATACCTGATATTTTCAAAGTGTAATATAATCAAAACTAGACGGTAAAAGTATTTCATATTTTACAAGATCAACCAATATACTTTTTGAAAAATTTAGGAAAACTTTGAAAACAGGCACTCATTTGGGTAAATTTTAAGAACTTTTTAATTTAGGCTCCCAAATTAGAAAAATGGTCAGACACGTGGTAAAAATGGGTGGGGAGGGTAACATTTTTATACAGATTTCATAAATTTTATGTAGAAACCATAATTTTGCTTATGTGGATTGTTAGCTGAATGGTACTTTTTGTTTCTTACCAAAAATTAATAGGAAAATATTTTTTCATTAGAAAGTTATTGCAGATTATTTAAAGGTTCCTCATTTCTAAAAAAGGGCCCTCATAACATCCTAGCTTGAGTTCAGAAAAGTGGCCATAACTTGATTTCCGTACGGTAAACTTTGTTTAAATTTTGCATACGGGTGTACTTTAAGGTATACATCTGACCTATGATGTCAATTTTTCAATTCCTTATAGTGCCCATTAGGGTCCTAATACCTTAACTTCGTCCTGCGTCCAACTAATAAGCCCTGTCCCCGCCATTTCAGCTAGTTAATTATTTAGATTTATCTTTGCGGGGTCGCGGGACGAATTTGTATTTATCTAACTTTGCCTGCATTCACACTCATTAGTGTGTCCTTGCATGCGACCCGCAATTTTTAACTTGTTATTTCTCGATTTTTCGCTTGGCGGGGTCGCGGGGCGAAACAGACAAATGGCAAATCAGCCACCATAATACCAACAACTTGTGTCACCAATTTTATTGTGTACAACTTTTTCACAATGGAGCTAGACTACAAGTATATTCATGAACATGTTAATAACAAAATCGATAATACACAAAAACACAATAAATCTGTGCAGTGTTTTACAGTGCACCGATTTGTTTTGTTAAAAAATGTGTCCAGATTTGTTTTTCTTTTGTGATACACAAGAACTAAAACAATTTGTACAAAAAAAAGCAAAAAAATTTGTTGATAAATCTAAAAAAAAATCGATTATTAGCAAGTTTTGAAACCTGGGTTAGATTGGATCATCACTAGCTTTTTCGTTTACAATATACTTATTATAAACATTATGATAAACATTATTTAGGCTATTTATACAGTTTTTTCTATCAATTGATTGTTCACATAATATTATATAAATCCAACTCCTATTACAAAAGCTTTTAAAATTATTTGATAAACAAGTAAAGAGAAATGCATATGATTCATTGTACCCCAAAAGCTCAATTGAGCACAAAGTGCTCAGGGCATGTGAATGCATTGTGTTCATTGTACATGGTTAGTCACAATTTCTTTAAACTTCATTTCCACCTTAACCAGTTGGTAAACCATCCGTAGGCGACTCTGTTCAAAATTTGTGTAAATTGTTTCAAGCCTGTTTCAGAAGTAAAACAGTGAAACTAGAGCTAAAATACTTATTCTTTAATAGACCTTTTCTCTAAAACGCAACTCAAATGCTTCCCTTACTAACAAATTACTTCCGAAGCTTCTAGTGGCATTCCAACTTCAGTACCAAAAATTATTTTTTAACAAAAAGGATTCATTCATAAAGAGCCGGTTAAGTCAGGTGAAGAGCCAATTAAGTCAGGTGAGCGATATTTTGGCCATCATGAGTCGTTAAATGCTTCAAATAATTTTTATTTAAGTTCATGATCTCGATATGATTGGCAAGGCAATGATGCAATTTACTTTACCCAAACGACTCAAACCAGAGGCATACTTCACCTGTGAACATAGCAAAGAGTGGATATCTACATTAGCTAAATGTGATAACGTCATAGATTGTCTTGATGCTTCAGACGAAGTTACTTGTTTTAACGGTAATATTTATATTTTATACCCCCGAAACGAAGTTTGGGCGTATATAGGAGTGACTCGGTGGTCGGTCGGTCCAGCAGTCCGTTGCATTTTCCTTGTCCGGAGAATTTCTTGAAGAATAAAAATGGTTGGAATTCAATACAATTTCAAACAATGGTCAAGCACATTGAGAGGAAGTGCAGTGCACAAGAACCATTACTGCATATTCACTAATCACAGAGTTATTGCCCTTTGTTGCTTTTCCTTGTCCGAAGCATAACTTAAAAACTATTTGTTGGAATTCAAAACAGCTTCACACAATGGCCAAGCACAATAAGGGAAAATGCAGTGCACACAAACCATTACTCTATCTATAGTAATTGCAGAGTAATCGCAATTTGTTACTTTTCCATTGCTTTCTTTTGTCCGGACCATAATTTGAGGACTAATGGTTAGAATTCAATATAACTTGATACAATGGTCAAGCACATTGAGAGGAAGTGCAGTGCACAACAACCATAACTCTATCTTGACTCATTACATAGTCATTGCCCTTTGTTACTTTTCCTTGTCCGGAGCACAACTTGAAAATTACTGTTGGAATTCAAAACAAATTCACACAATGGTTATACACAATATGAGAAAATGCAGTGAACAAAACATAACTCTGTCTAAAGTTATTACAGAGTAATTGCTTTTTAAGCCCCTACAGAGTGGGAGCATATATCGTTTCACTTGTCCGTCCGACTGTCCGTCCGTCCGTACGTCTGTCCGTCCGTACGTCCCGAAATGTTGTGAACGCAACTCCCCTTAAACAGGAAGGAAGGTTTTGCTTTAACCTCCAGGGATGAACAACCTTAATGTGTAGATGGTAGTAAAGGAAGGAATTTTTGCTGCGACCAAATTTAACAGAATTATGGCCCTTTATTGATTTTTTCACTATGTACCATATAGAAATTTTGTGAATGTAACTCCTCTTAAACCGGATGGCAGATTTTGCTTAATTTTCCAGGGATAAACAACCTTACTGCTTAGATGAAAGTAAAGGAAGGAATTTTTGCTGCGACCAAATTTAACAGAATTATGGCCCTTTGTTGATTGTTTTCACTATATACCATATAAATGTTGTATAAACTTGAAAACTACTAGCTGGAATTCAATACAACTGTATACAATTGTCAAGCATATTAGGTGAAGTGCAGTGCACAAGAACCATAACACCGTTTTGACAAATTACAGAGTTATTGCCCTTTGATACTTTTCCTTGTTCAGAGCATAACTTGAAAAGTACTGGTTGGAATTCAAAGTAACTTCATACAATGGTCAAGCACATTAAGAGGCAGTGCGGTGCATAAGAACCATAAATCTGTCCAGAGTTATTATAGAGTTATTGTCCTTTTTGACTTTTTCATTGCTATGTTCTTGTGCAGAGCATAATTTGAAAAATACTAGTTGTAATTCAATACAATTTTATACAATGGTCAAGTATATTTGGATTTTTTTTGGTTATTGGTTAGTTCACATACATGCATAAAAACACACAGACAGACCCATTCACATGCATTGTCATTAAGCTAAATCAAGTGTCTAAGCATTGACTTGGTATCTCAGCTTTGTTTGGAATACGAACTAATAATGAATTTTATCATGCAACTGCTTTGGTTACTGAGGATAATACTTTATTTTTTTTTATATCAAGTAAGTAACCTGACATCAAAAATAACCTCGCCTATTCAACGGACTTGTTTCAATCGCTGATATTGTCATTCATATCAGCCTTTGAATTTTACAATAATTTCATATCATTCCCAGACAAGTCTCAAATCGAAAAGTGACATTTATAATTTTAATTTCGTTTTCAATAACGAACAAATGTGAAAGCGACAAGTATAGCACAAATTCAATGATGTGACGTCCTAATTCATTCGCAGATGACATCGTCCATGCCCACATCATATTATAAACATGACAAGCATGCTCATGTTAACTGTGTTACACCAGATTGTTATTAAAAAGTGAGAGAATGTTTTCGTTCAGAAAATAAGCTGCATGTTTGTGTAGTTTTTGTTTTATTGCTATGTTGGCTGATTAAAGCCATGTCGTGTTTTCGCTTCTGAAAATGCAAAAAAAATTCGAATGGACGACAAAGTTGACTTGTCGTCTCTTCGTGTTTTCGCTTTTTCGGGGTTTAAAGGAAAAGAGAGAAAATACGATCAAAACCTATCGTCTATTTGCATTATATATGTCGCATATTTGCAGTTTCATATTGTTGTATTTAGACTTTTTCGCATCGTTGTGTTTTTGCTTTTTGGCATTGTTGTATTTTTACATTTTCGTAAATCGGCCTGTAGCAATTATATTATTTATGATTAACATATCATCCACAAGTACATTCTAATAATTCAATTACATTTTATGAAATAAACAAAGAGAAAAATGCATCAATGCGAAAATGTAACAATGCGATGAAGCTAAACCACGACAGATGGAATGCGAATATATGACAGATTTTGTGTGTCGTATTTTCGCTCTTCTTCTGTCGTATCTTCGCTTTTCTGCCTAGAAAAATCAAAATAAGCGAAAATACAAGTGTCCAACTTTGTCGTCTTTTTGTTTTTGCATTTTGCATTTGAGGTAAAAAGGCGAAAATGCGACATGACGTAAAGCAGCCACCATAGATTGCCGATTAAACTTTGATTGAAACTAACATTATTGTAAACTTTAAATTTGACATGTCGAAGGAAATAGTGAAGGAAAGTTTATGTGATTGATTGACAAGTGATATTTTTGGATCGATTTTTAAAGGTAAGAAAAGTTTAAGTCAAATTTAAAAATGGCCGCCATTTACAAATTCTAGGGACGTTTTGTTCAAAGGAATAATTCTTGACAACAAAGTCCTCCGCCCCTTGAACTTAGAATTTGTAATTGGTAGCCATTTTTTCTTTCGACTCAAGATTATGTCCTTTGATAATAGATGCAACATAATGCAACATAATTAAATAAAATACAATTCTTACCTTTAAACATCGATCCAAAAATATGTCCCTAATACTAATAATAATTATTCACGTTAACTTTATTTTCCGGAATTGCCAGTGAACCGAAATTGCCATACGAACTGTACCGTAGTTTTTTTTTCCAAAAAATGTTACCATATTTTCAGTTTCAATCAAAGAAAATTCAAATCGGCAATCAAACACAAGCTACACAAACATTTGTCTTATTTTCTGAACGAAACTCTTTGCTCACTTATATAATAATTATCAGGCGGAACAAAGTAAACATAAATTTACAAGTTCTTCAAGAAAAACCTAGACAGCATGTTTGTAATGTTTGTTATATGACGTAGACATCGAAAATGTCATTTTCAAAATAAATTTTGACGTCACTTTATTAAGTTGGTGTTTAACTATTCGATATCTTATGTGTTCGTAATTGAAAACGAACTAATTTGTCTTTTGAAGTCTTATCTGTGATACGCAGGCTTCATAACCTCTGATCCCCTTTCCAAATTCCATTTTATTTAGTTCCGCCCATTGTTTTCTCGTTTAGGGCACACGCTTTTTATTACTTGGGGACCATACGCCGCTTTTAATGGAATGGCACGGAAGTGTCACATTGAAGTTTCCATGATAACCGCCGTATGAACACATCTGCGTATATTTCTAAATTCAAAATTTTACCATTTCATGTTTTAATGTTGAATTCTGCTTAAGCCGGCTAGGGGGCGTGGACGGTAACTTGCACTTTCCAGTACCGTCCATGAACAGGCTTAATCAAACCGAGCCTGCAACATTTTCAATTCTGCCGTGTTGGGCTTTCTTTAGGAATTCTGTATTTATCTATTTAATGATAACATGACATATTGATTCAGACTTGAAAGAGTATGGGATAAAATTGTAGAAACTCGAAAGCTGATTAAAATGAAAATATAAGCTGTTGAAGAGAAGTCATTTAAAAGAGGCAGGGCTTATTTCTATCAGTTTATCGGGCAATTATGGTAATATTTATTAGGATGTGATGACAATGAATTCTCTTGTGATGGTGGACATTGTATAAAATTTAGTCAAGTCTGCGATTTTATATCCGACTGTGCGGATGGTACAGACGAAAAATGTGGTAAGTAGTAAAATTAGAAGTATGAAAATTAATAATTCAATAGATTGCTCGATTTTTTTTCTAGGTGACAGGTCTTTAAGATTATATTTTACTTTTCTAATACACTGTAGCTGGCCTATAACGAATTTCTAGGGAAACGTCATAAGAAATTCGTATGGACATAATGTATATTGTTAAGGTAGTTGTTTATTTTGTTAACATAAATTTTCTATATAAGCATCATGCAAACTTACATAAAAAATAACTAAACAAAAGTGCCGATAAGGCTTATCTTGGTGATACATTGAAAACTTATATATCCTACAGAGATATATCATCAATTATACCTACATTAAACAACGGTTAAATTACTAAATAACAGCCTAATTTTATCATTACCAAACATATTCAAATTATAATCAAAACATTTACTATACGAAAATAACATTGTGAAATATTAGTTCATAAAGGATTAAAACACATTTTTTGTGAAACGTACTTACATGTCAAGTTCATAATTCAAAGCTTGATTTGTATCTTGCATGTTTAACTTTTCCTGCAGATCGATTGTTTTACAAACATTTGCAGATTTCCAAAAGTGTGATGAAAATGAATTTCGTTGTTCTAATAAACAGTGCATTCCATCAGATAAACGATGTAATTCTCAACCTGACTGTTTAGATAAAAGCGACGAAGAAAAATGTGGTTTGTATTCAATATTATATTACTATACAATTCAAAATTAAGATAAGTAAATATGTCTTACTTAAATGAAAGAACGTATGAACTATGTATGGAAATCTGCGTTCGTTACTACAAATAAAGGTGGTCTTTTCTTGAATAATGCCAGATATGTAATGCATTTTATTTTTATTGTTTGTCCACTTATTATGTGCACGACTTAAAACATAACATATGAATAGTTTGCTTCAAGTCAACACAGGTTTATTTCATATACATAAAAATACCATGTAGTAATTACCAATATTTTCAAATATCAAATTCGGCATAGTATATCTTTAAGAAAATTCATTTTATAATGTATATCACTTACAAATCAAGACGAATGATTAGGAACGACCTACCTAACTTGACATTAATTAATTAAAACTGATTAACAAATATCATCAGTCATAAAGTTTTTAAAATATTGCGCGTAGAAAATCGCATTAAACATCATCTTTAGGAAGTGGAAAATATTAACAAACACATAATTTTGATAGATAATTCCTGCAAATCACAAGTATGTTAATCACTACATATGCACTGGTTTCTTGTCAAAACAGGTAAGAAATGTTTAAAAAATATGATCCGTAGACGTCAAAAAAGACGAGAACGATGGGGTTTTTGTCGTTCCGGCACTGTATAGATCGAATGGCAACTTTTAAGCTTCACTTGTTGAGGAAGTGCCATGCAGTGCATTAATTTAGAGACGAACGGGCACCAGAGTAGAGCCATTTATATTCGGTAATCGAAATTCGGTTATCTGACTGAAAAGCTTCCACAAAAGAAAGAATCCAAAGTGCCTGTTTCGGTGAATCGAACCAACAGCGTTGAGGTACACAAATCGATGTTGTAAATCTTAATTTTGAAGAAGCAGGAATCATCATGTTACACTTACTTATATTTTGTTTCATACATTGAAACTCTTCATTTACATATTATTTAGGAAATGAAAAAAGATGTACTACGAGTATTACAAAAAGAAGTTGAATTTAATTGTAATCAAGGTTCATAAACATATCTTTTCTTTAAATTAAAGAGTCCTGCACAAATTCATTTTTGTGTTCTGGTGATTACAAATGTATTCCTCTTCGTCTGACGTGTGATCGCTACCCTGACTGTACACACAGCAGTGATGAATTAACTTGCCGTCTGAAAATTCTAACATCAGCTGATATGAGAGATGAATATCTTTCTCTGACAGGTTGGAAAGGTGAGCAAAATTCTTATATCAAGTTATTGTGTACTCAAAATTTTTCTTTTCTTTCTTTTTTTTTTGTTTTTGAGAAAATGGTCAGAACATTGATGACAAAAGCATAAGTAAACTTCACGCGCTCATAGAAACTTTTAAAGTGGAATTTGAGAACTTCATCCATTTTCTACATAAATGTCAATTCTTTTAATGCATTTAATCTATATCTAATAGATGAAGCTTATAGATGAATTTTATGATCAAAAATAACCTTTTTTTAAATTGTTACGAGCCAGGCGTAACGAGAAAGAAAAGCCAGCAACAAACTTGTAACAATAACAAATTTATTACAGAAAAAATAATAAAGAAAATCAAAATAACAAATTATGTTTACAAATACCTGAAGTCCAAATTAAAATGTAAATTACAAATGTCTAGTCTGATCCTGGAATGATCCTTTTTGAATAGCACAGTTAAATCCAAATTAAATCCAAGAACACTTTAGAATAAATTCCCACAATAAAATCCACAAGAATAATTTATTTTAAAATCCAAGCTCCAATAATTCACTTAATATCCAAGTTGAAAAATACTCCAAATATATTGATGTCTTAAAAGGTAACTGATGACTTAAAGATCACTGATGACTTTAAAAGGTAATACGAAAGAAAAATGTCTTCTATATATATTAAGCTAAGAAGTTTCTAGAATAGTCTTCCATTTACTACAGTTATCATAATCTAGCAACTTCAACAATAAAAATCATTCCAGAAGTTTCTCTCTAAATATAATGCATGAGTTTTCTACAGCAGTTAAGAAAGTTCTAGTACATACATGTAGTTTATGTTCTAAAAATAGAACAATGATAATATTGGAAATACCAACTGGTCAGATATAAACTTTATACATGTAATATGTTGCATACATAACACTTCCCCTCTTCAAGAAAAAGAAATATGAATGAAATGAATATTTCTTTTACATAAATCCAAACAATATGACTTGCGAATAATAGGAGAAATGTTAAACAATTTTATACATACAATCATATATATGTGTATTATAAACAATTACAAACAACAATATAAAAATAAACAATCATAAGATGTAGATGTTAAATGTAAATACTGAAAATATCAGTTTTAGACACGAGAAAGTGCATCAGGGATCAAATTATCTTTCCCTTTAATGTGTCTAATGTCAAGACTATATTCTTGCAAAAACAAACTCCACCTCAACAACCTTTGATTTTTGTTTTTAAGTTTATGCAAGAAAGTGAGGGGATTGTGATCACTAAAGACAACAACAGGCAACTTTGAAGAAGTTAGATAAACTTCAAAATGCTGAATAGCAAGAATAAGAGCAAGGCACTCTTTCTCTATAGTAGAGTAATTTTTCTGATGTTCATTAAACTTTTTAGAAAAGTAACAAACAGGATGGTCAACACCATTGTTGTCTTCTTGGATCAATACACTTCCAGCACCTATGTCACTAGCATCTACAGCTAACTTAAAGTTTTTATTAAAATCTGGTGCCAAGAGAACTGGTGCACTCTTAAGTATGGCTTTAAGGCTGTCAAATGCTATTTGACACTTGTCATTCCAAATGAATTTGTTTCTTTTCTTCAGCAAATTTGTCAATGGTTCTGCAATAACCGAAAAGTTATTACAAAATTTACGATAATACCCTGCCATGCCAAGAAATCGCATCAGTTGTCTTTTACAAGTAGGCACAGGAAATTCAGAGATAGCTTTGACCTTAGCTTCTATTGGTTTAACTTTACCCTGTCCCACTACATGTCCCAAAAATGTTAAAATTGCATGACAAAATTCACTTTTTGCAAGATTAACTGTCAATTTAGCATCACTAAGCCGGTCGAAGAATGCTCTTATAGTTTTGAGATGTTCCTCCCATTCATCAGAGTAGATGATTGCGTCATCAATGTATGCGTCACATCCGTGTAGACCAGATATTACCATGTTTATTAGCCTCTGAAAAGTTGCTGGTGAGTTTTTCATACCAAATGGCATAACTTTATATTGATACAAGCCGTCTGGTGTTACAAAGGCTGATATTTCTTTAGCTCTATCAGTAAGTGGAACTTGCCAGAATCCTTTTAGAAGATCAAACTTTGTTACATACTTTGCTTTTCCAATTTTGTCAATACAGTCATCAATTCTTGGTATAGGAAATGAATCAGTTTTTGTTACAGAGTTCACTTTACGATAATCTGTACACATTCTATATGTTCCATTTGATTTCGGTACAAGAATACATGGAGAGCTGTAATTGCTTTGACTTGGTTCAATAAAGTCATTATCCAATAAATACTGAACTTCTTGTCTTAGGTCCTTTTGTTTTACAGGATTTGTTCTATATGGATGCTGTTTTATTGGTTCAGAGTTTTCAAGAATGACGTCATGATGTATTTTATCAGTCCGTGTGAGAATGTCAGGAAATAAGTGTTCATATTCATAAATAAGCTGTTTCAGTTCATCTCGTTTCGACGGTTCTAAGTGAGCAAGTTTTTCATCCAGATTTTTCAGAATATCAGAGTTTTCAAGCTTTGCTGAACCAGGATCAGACTTTTCAAAATTTTCAAACCTATAAGATTCAATTGAACATTGATTTTGTGGAACAGAGTTTACAAAAGATATAGGTTTACTAATTTTGCTATCTCTGTCAAAATATTCTTTTAACATATTTATATGACACTTTTGCTTTTGCTTTCGCCTCCCAGGAGTATTAATAATATAATTAAGGTCACTGACTTTCTTCTCAATAGTATAAGGACCAAAGTTTCTTGCCTGTAATGGTTTTCCAGGTATAGGTAAAAGAGCAAGTACTCTATCACCAGGGTTAAAACATCTTTCCTGAGCATTTTCATCATACCTTTATTTCATTTTACTTTGTGTTGATTTTAAATTGAGCCTAGCTAACTCACATGCATTAGTCAACCTATTTCGAAATACTGAAGCAAATTTAAAGATATGTCATCTTCAGACAGAAATTTCTCTTTTAGAAGTTTTAAGGGTCCTCTGACAGTGTGACCAAATACTAATTCAAAAGGGCTGAAGCCAAGAGATTCCTGAACAGATTCTCTTACAGCAAATAACAATAAATGGATGCCTTCATCCCAGTCTTTTTCAGTGTCAAAACAATATGACCTTATCATATTTTTCAGAGTCTGGTGAAATCTCTCTAATGTACCTTGACTTTCAGGGTGGTAGGCTGAAGACCTGTATTGAGTAATTCCTAACTCGTGCATGACCTGCTGGAAAATACCAGACATAAAGTTTGACCCTTGATCAGACTGTACTGATTTAGGTAAACCAACAAAAGTGAAAAATTTCACAAGAGCCTTGACAATAGTTTTGGCTTTAATATTTCTTAAAGGAATAGCTTCAGGGAAGCGCGTAGAAGCACACATAATAGTTAATAAGTACTGAGAACCTGATTTAGTTTTTGGTAATGGACCTACACAGTCAATGATAACTCTACTAAAAGGTTCATCAAATGCAGGAATAGGCTGTAAATGAGCTTTAGGTATTGTCTGATTAGGTTTTCCAACCATCTGACAAGTATGACAAGATTTACAGTACCTAGATACATCTGCTTTAAGGCCAGGCCAATAAAAATGACTGTGAATTTTATGGTAGGTTTTATTAACACCTAAATGACATGCCATGGGTGTTTCATGAGCCAAGCTTAATATTTCCTGGCGATATGATTTAGGGACCACAATTTGGTGATTTACAGTCCACTCCTCTTCAGCATGGACATCAGGCGGTCGCCATTTTCTCATTAAAATACCATTCTTTTCATAATAACAAACAGGGACTTGTAAAGCTTCATCTTCACTTAAAGCCTTTTGATAAAGGACTGAAATCTCAGGATCATTTTGTTGTTTCTGGATAAGCTGTGACCTTGACAGCGTGTCATGACCTTGATCTTTAGATCTTGGTGTAGAAAAGTCAGATATTGAAGCATCTGTCTGAGTTTCAGGCAGAGTAGGAGTGAGAGAAAAATTTATTTCATTATCAAAAGACTGACCTATAAAAGTATCAGCTAAGTCAATATCTGAACAATAATTATCTTCTTGAATGGCCTTCGTAGCCATAGCTCGAGTAACTGCACATGAAGGGTAAAGGTCAGGAACTTCCTGCTCAATGGGGTCAGGTATCTGATCCACACAAGGAGTGTCAGTTACAAGTGGATTAACCACTACCTTATCTCCAGCTAAGTCATTACCTAGCAATAAATGGACACCTTTAAAGGGTAAGAAAGATCTTATACCTACAGCCACCGGCCCAGTTACCAAATCTGAGTACAAATAAATATTATGGAGAGGGACATTAGAAAAACCACACTCTACACCCTGAATAAGGACACTAGATCCAGAAGAAGTCTTCTCAGAAAAAGGTAGTGTATCTGCTAAAATAAGAGATTCAGAAGCTCCTGTGTCTCTTAAAATTTTAATAGCAGTAGGTGGGCAAGTATCACCGATAAGTGACACGGAACCTTCCGAAAGGAATGGTTCATAAATCTCCATTATAGAATCAGACTTGGGTTCTTTGACCTTCAAAATTGCATTGTTATCAATACAAGACTGAGGTTCAGGCCTTGAAGTGGTAAGACCTGTGGGTTTGGCCTCATCACGTTGCTGTTGCCTCCTTTTTAAGGTAAAGCAATCAGAAATAAGATGTCCAGCTTTCTTGCAATAATTGCATGTAGGACGAGATAAGGGACTATGATCTTTATGTTCATCAGATGACTTTGGTTTGGGAGTACTTGAGTGACTAGATGAGCCAGATAAATTACCAGAACTGAACTTGGAATTAAAATGTGAGGGTGTGGACTTCCCTTTATTTATAAATGAGACTTTGTGGGTTAAAGAATAATCATCAGCTAGACGGGCAGCTTCTTCTAAAGTTTCTACCTGTTTTTCATCTAAGAAAGATTTAACATCAGAATGAATACAACGTTTAAACTCTTCAACCAACATGAGCTGTCTGAGCTTTTCATGATTTTTATCAATTTTCTTAGATAGACACCACCGATCAAAAAGTTGTTCTTTTTCTCTTGCAAATTCGACATGGGTTTGACCAATTTCTTTCTTAGAATTTCTGAATTTTTGCCTGTAGGCCTCTGGTACTAACTCATAACCTTTCAGAATTAATTCTTTTACATTATCATAATTAGAGCTTTGTTCAACAGTAAGTTGTGTATAGATTTCACGAGCTTTACCAGTTAAGACGCTCTGTAAAAGTAATGTCCAGTGCTCTCTTGGCCATTTTAAATTTTCAGCAACCTTTTCAAAATGAAGAAAATACTTATCAACTTCTTTTTCTTGGAAAGGTGGAACAAGCCTAATATTTTTAGTGACATCAAATTTTGAATTTATTCTATGTTCAAACTGATTTGCTTTCTCTTTGATTTCTAATTCTCTCATTCTTAACTGAAATTCTCTCTCTTCTCTTTCTTTTTCAAACTGCCTTTCCCTTTCTTTTTCTTCCCTTTCTTTTTCTAACAGCCTTTCTTCCCTTTCTTTTTCTAACTGTCTTTCTTCCCTTTCTTTTTCTAGCTGCATTTTCTCTAGTTCAAATTTAAATTGAAGTTCAAGCTCTCTTATCTTTATTTCAGAAATTTCAGAGTGTTTTTCAACAATGTGAGAAAGTGCATCTTGTCCAAAAATATCTTCATCCACAAAATAATGAATCAGAAAATTTTGATTTCTTGTTTATGCATTGAAGATTTAATTTCTGATAAATTATACTTTTTTGCAAGATCAAGCAAATCAGTTTTCTTAGCCAAATCTAATACCTCCTGGGAAGGTTCAGCTACAAACTTTTCTAAATCAAAAGACATGACTGCTTGCTGCTGGTTTTAAACTTAAATATGGTGTGTTTAAAAAATTTCAGAATTGAAAAGCACACTTAATAGAACAACTATTATATCAACTCAAATGAGTAAATACGGTAATAATAAAATGTAAAATAAACGGTAATAATTTCCAATAATGTAGCCAAAAAGAAATATTCAATCCCGGACGAGCCCCCAATTTCTGTTACGAGCCAGGCGTAACGAGAAAGAAAAGCCAGCAACAAACTTGTAACAATAACAAATTTATTACAGAAAAATTAATAAAGAAAATCAAAATAACAAATTATGTGTACAAATACCTGAAGTCCAAATAAAAATGTAAAATTAAAAATGTCTAGTCTGATCCTGGAATGATCCTTTTTCAATAACACAGTTAAATCCAAATTAAATCCAAGAACACTTTAGAATAAATTCCCACAATAAAATCCACAAGAATAATTTATTTTAAAATCCAAGCTCCAATAATTCACTTAATATCCAAGTTGAAAAATACTCCAAATATATTGATGTCTTAAAAGGTAACTGATGACTTAAAGATCACTGATGACTTTAAAAGGTAATACGAAAGAAAAATGTCTTCTATATATATTAAGCTAAGAAGTTTCTAGAATAGTCTTCCATTTACTACAGTTATCATAATCTAGCAACTTCAACAATAAAGATCATTCCAGAAGTTTCTATCTTAATATAATGCATGAGTTTTCTACAGCAGTTAAGAAAGTTCTAGTACATACATGTAGTTTATGTTCTAAAAATAGAACAATGATAATATTGGAAATACCAACTGGTCAGATATAAATTATATACATGTAATATGTTGCATACATAACAAAATGCAAATTTAAATCGAACTTCTCTTGTCAAGAATATATCGCAAATTTTACTTAAGATAATCACAATTACTGACCCATAGTTTGATCTTAACATACATCTATCGGTAGTTTATAAACAACTGAAAGACTTCACAAAGTCGAAAATAAGAACCAATTAAAGAAAAATACCGACATCAGCAAAATTAAAAAGAGCAACAAATATTCCTGTTTTGTCACGAATAATTCAAATGTCGACATTCAACTTGATTCAAGCTAGTGTTTTTAACGCTGAGTATTTATGTTAAAATCAACTTTTTAAGTTTCTTTTTAAGTACCTTGCCGACAAATACATGGTTGATGGCCATGTTTTGACTATCCCTATATATATTTTTAATATATAAAAAAAATAATTTGAGCCAAATATCATTGCGTGTTTATTTGTTCCTTTTTTACGCATTGTATGGCTTTAATCATGCATAAGAGTACAAGTAAATAAAAAAAAATCATGTACATCTGCTTTTCATTTCGTTAACAATTTTTGATTTTTTGCATTGTTGCAAACTATCTTTTTTTTTTAAATGAAAATACATTTTGTTATGTCTGTATAAAAATAATGCACTCTAAAACTGTCTGATTACATGGCCATGTGTTACTGACCGGAACAAAATAAAATGGAACCAGGCTACAATTAATATGTGTAAAGAGTATCTGTTTTGCATTGAACGAAGCGCATCGGTGTAAGTGATGTTGCACTGCATTGTCATAAAACGTCTGATATTATCTATATATCCATTTAAGTATCTTTGGAAACAAGAAAAATTTCGTTCTAGAGAAATTAATTTAATCTTATCTTAAAAAGTTCTTTAATTGCCACTTTTTATATTTTGTTGCAAAGGCATAAATGGCGTCAAACCCGTTACCAAATCTAACCAAAATAAACAGCGCACATGTGACCTCGCTTTACTTCATCAATAGATAAACCATGTATATTATTGGATTTATTAACAATTTTTACATTATTATAAAAGATATCAAAATGATAATATAGTAGGAAACTTCTTTGCTTATTTCACTGAATACAACATTTGAAACGACCTTTTACCGCCACAACACGTATATTTTTTTGGCAAACTGCATTGCAAATTCAACGCGCAAATTATTAAGTTTTAAAAATCAACAGCGTTGATTTAAGCCGTCCTGTCGCAGTATAAAATGAGTACTTGTGTGGTCGTAATGGAACTTTATTGCCGCTGCGTTTCCCCTTCAACTTAACTCTAATAGATCTAAGCCGAGCATTTTGTTATGTCCTTCTCTCAAGGAACTAATTACACAGATGCAGTGCAACACCATTTCTGTCACCCATTTTGAGCTTGCGTCAAACCTCTCTTCGATTAAGGGGTGCGACCTAATTCTTGCCAGTTGTCTTTTTTCTAAACAGGTCAGCTCTTTATATTTTGACTGAGTCAACTAAATTATAGTATTATTGTTGTCATAAATAAATATATATTTCTAAGACTTCATGTTCATTTTATATATTCTAATGTTTTGTCGTGTTCA